GCCCTCTCTCTGTCTTTTTCTCTCTCTGCAGATCGACGTTGAGCGAAATTGTCTTTATCACTTTTTTAGAGAAAAGCTGCGCTAATACGCGCGGCTCTACAACGGCTGTGTTTTCCCGCATCTGCACAAAACGCGGAAAGCGCAAATCTTCCAGCGTGAGAAGGATTACAGGCGAAGGAAGGAGGAAAAGTCCGACTACGCTACTGTAGCGGGATGGTGGGGAAACGGCGGAACATAGTAGAGTGAATCGTGAGGGTGGCCAAGGGGCGGCAGGGTGTAACAGGGTGTCGAGGGTTGGAGATTACGGCGGGACAAGCAATATTAAGCGGCCAGAAACAAAAAGACGATCTACCACGCCGGATTACTCGCGATGCACCGCGTTGTCCCGTGAAATTGATACGCGAGATGCTTTTTAACGGGAATAGCGGGGTGAACACCACCGCGACACTCTCGGACCTGCCGTGGAAATATTCGACGTGATTTAGATAACCCGCTGGGCGCGGCGCGGCGCGACGCGACGCATCGAGCATAAAAGAAACGATTTGTACCGCCAGCTCCGAAAAGAGAAGAGTTCTAATGAGGAAAGTCTGAAAATAATTAGATCGTTCGTCATCGACGCTAGAAGCGTTCTTACAGCATTGCTACAATAGCAATCACGAGTTTATTCATTTTTTTAATCATTAGTTTGCACTTGTTATTGTTAAAGACCCTCCATATATTTTTAGTAAAATAACATTATTATATTATCATAATATGGCATAGTAATTTATGTGTTGTTTAAAAGCTGGGAGTTCTATCTCTTTTCTAATTCAAGATAAAAAAGTAGTAGAGAAGAATCTTTTACTGTTTAATATATATAATCTACGATTATATATATATATATATATATATATATATATATATATAGAATATTTTATTAATAATAATTAATTATATAGAATATTTTTTTAATAAAAAAAAGCTGTATATTTCAAAAATTAAAACAGTGTTTTCAACAAAGATTATAGGATATCGAAGGAAAAAAAATTTTTAAAGCATAAAGCAATTTTTCTAATTATTCTACGTACAAAAATTCTGAGATAAAATCATCAAAAAGTGAATACTTTTCGAAATCTTTTTATATTCTTATACAATAATATCTTTTTATATTCTTATACAATAAAATAT